TAGATGGTTGTCCTGCTTGACATTTTGTTGTTGGTTTTGTCTTCCAGGGTTCCAATTATGTACATGCTAACAATTCTTTACCTATCTTCTGTATTCTATTGTGCATTTTTCTCAAATTCTTAACTTTTTCTTTATTTCCATCTTATTTTGTTTGTACAAAACCTTTTTTTTCTTTCAGGAACTTTTATTTGCATCTAAATGACTTTTATCCCCCTCCTAATTTCCCAAGTGTTTTAACTGACATTGAAATTTCCTGGATTGTCTGTTTGTGAGATATTTCCATATGCAAATGAGGGGTTCTTCACCTTCGGTGTTGATTTTCCTTGGTTCTCTGTGAGGTTTGCCACTACTAGGCCCTCTCACCATTTTTTTTTTTTTCTTTTTCTCTTTACTTTTATACACTCATTCAGCCTCAGTGTGATCTCATTTACTTTTGGCATCCCTTGCAGTTATTTTAGAGAACATAGATCTGCATCTTTCATATAATTTACAGGAAGTAAAGAAGGAGAGCTATATTTCCATAATCATGTTGCTGGTGGAAGTCCCTTGTTTATTTGATTCCAACATAATATTTCATAAGGGCAGTAATGAAATTTACTTTTTCTTTTTCCTTTCAGAAGAGTGGGAGAAATACATGATGTAGGCAAGAGAGAGCAGAACTGTGATGAAAGAGATCTCAAGGGAGCAGGTGGACATCTTTTTTAGAAGAAACATCACATCTACCTGAGTAACTGCAAGAAAGAAGGTAGAAAGAGTAGGTATAGGAGGAAATAGATGTATATAAAGATAAGGGAACTTTCTTTAAATTGCTTCTAATATCTCAGGGAAAAAAATGAGGTAAGGTCAAGAGCTGAGGAGAGAAGAGAAAAAAATAAAGTAGGTGTCTGAATTGAGAAGCAAAGGTACTGGCAATGTGGAAGTCAAGTTCATAGGAAGTGTCAAGTGCCCATGCAGGTCATGAGTTTATTGTGGGGCTAGTTAGGAGTATTAAATGTTGTTGTTGTTGTTTTCATCAAACCTCAATTGCTGGAATATGACTAGAGTTTAGTGTAATTAGGTTTGGAGATTTCACTGGAAAGTAGAAAGGGGGAGAGAAATTAAAGAGTTTGCATGGGAGTGACTTTCTGGGAATGGAGGATAGTGAGGACATGAGCGTGATGAGCTCGTGAAAAAGTCATCCGTGAGTGGGGAGCAATCAGGAGGTTGAGAGGTGATTTTTAAGGAAATGGAAGTGAATGAATTGTACTCTAATGAGATTCGCTACAAGCGAGCTGCAATTTAAAAGATGGAAAGGCAAATGGAAGATTTGAAGGTCACACTGGGAACTAGGAGGACGCCAAGAAGTGAACAAGATTTCAGTTAGAGAAAGAAGGGGAAGGAACCAGTCAGAGGAGGTAAAGACAGACTGGGTGTTCCATACAGCCCAGAAAAGGAGAAGGTGGAGAAGGATGGAAAGGATGAACTTTGGATGATGGGAGCCAGACTGGCAGGAGATGGATGGATGAAAGACAGGGGTGAGATTTACTTTAAATCTCTCAATAGAATTTGGTACTTGATGACTCCCTTTTTTCTTGAAACACGTGCTTCTCTTGGTTTGTTTCTCTAACCATGTTCCAACCTTTTTGACCACACCTTTTTAAACACTTTTGCAAATTACTCTTAAATGTATCTCTTCAATATTGATGTTTTTTAGACCTCTGACAGAGTCCCGGTTTCTTTTTATTTTTCTCATTCCTTTGGCATTCTTAAATGCTTCTGTGTTGTCATTTAACATCTATGTGTTGATGGCTTAAAAGTAGATCTGTAGCTCAACTCACTGTCTGGAGTTCAGGTCTAGCTATACCGCTGTCTATTTAACCTCTTTCAGAACACCTTGGTTGCATCCCCGCCTGAACTCTGGAAACTTTCCCCCAGTGGATTCCTCTTCCAGTTCTCTGTTTCCATAAGTGTGATGACTATGTCTTCAGTTTTTTAATCCAGAATTCTGGGTATCATTCTTGACTGTTTCTTCTAACTCGATACATTAATCTCAAAACCCTATCATTTACTTCTCATAAATATAATTTAAATTCATCTATTTCTCTTCATTCCCATCTCATCATTCTAGTACAAATCACCATCATCTCTCTCCTGGCTGGTTTTCTTGCCTCTAGTTTGGCACCTTTTCTTACATGGTAGCCATAGAGTGATATTTCTACACACAGAGTCATTTTCTTCACTGCTCACAGGCCCCCAGGGACCTCCCATTGCAGTTCACACAACTCAGCCTACATAGCCCTGCCTGGCTGGCTTTTGCCTTCTGTTGACTTTCCTAGTCCTACTTCATCTACATAGTGAAGCATATGTACTACTGTAGAAATCAGTGCCAAACTATTATTTATTTTATAACAACAACAAAAAAGTCACTATTTCTTGAATTGGTTTACTTAACCTACTTTAAAAAGGTATTATCAATATATTCTCCCTTAAAACTATTTCCGGTATCTAAAAGATAATAAACTAGAAAATCAAGAGAAGTAACCAAATGTAATAGCTATGACATGTGATACGTGTAGTAGCTGCACTTTGTAGCTTTTTTTTTTCAGTTATTGAGGGAGGTAATCTTGGAGTATTAATATTTGGGAGGAAATTTCTATTCATAAAATAGAATAAAAGCAAATGTTAATGAAATATATCTTTAATAAAGTTTGAAAGTTTCACGTAGTTGTGTCACCCTAAAATTTATTTATTACACTTTCATATATCTCAGAAGAGGAAAGATCTGTTTTTTTAAGAGCAGACAATTTTAGATGTACAGGTAAATTATTTTCACTTATTAATACTGACATTATTTTTATTTAATTTTACATATTAATGTACATGTTAATATTGTTAAGTTTTCAATAACATTTAAATACACCAAGTGTTTAAAGCTGAGTGGAGAGGGGCAGTTCAAGCTTTGTATATTAAGGTACATCTGTACTCTAGCTACTAACTAACAAAAATAAGCATTGATAACTCTTGAAATTTACTTCCAAATTTTTAAATATGTACTATGAGGAGTGATGCATACTAGCTTAGAAAAGCATTCCACATAATGGGCACTTAATGCATATTTTCTTGTTAGCATTTATCAGTAGTCTAACTAGCATGCTAAAAATCTAAGTAAGTTAGAAGAGGTAGAAACGTTATAATATTTATGCTTAAGTTTTTTATTATCAGACTTTTAATTTACTGCTTTGTTTGTTTTCTTTAAGGATTTAACATTTACTCACCAGCACATATTTATTGAGTGCATACTATATGCTAGGCTTTATTCTTAGCATTTGGGTTACAGCCATGACTAGCAGAGTCATAGCCTCGGCCTCATGGAGTAGAATTCCATGTGTGTACGTGAGCGTGAATGTGGGTGTACGTGCATGTGTGTGCAGTGGGGGAAATGCAGACCATACATAATAACAAGTAAACGTGTACTCTCTTTAATGAGAATGTTTCCAGCAAATGCAATAAGCATTGCTAAGTGAGTCACTTCCGATGGAACAGGGAGGCCACTGAGGAGCTGGGGTGTGTGCACATCTGTTGTCTCAGTTCTTGGAACTGTTGTTAGGTGGCTGATCTGTTGCTAAATTCAACTCAAAGCCAAAGAACATGGACTCGTGAGGACTTTACTTGCTCCTCATCATGATGGCCAGACCATCTGCGTTCTTCACCTTGACGGGAACCAATCCATTTCAATAGCCTGCATCCTCCATTTACATAATGTGTCTAAATGATCCCAACTGGTGTACCACAGCTCTTTTATCCACTCATCGACCAATGGACACCTGGGCTGTTTCCAGACTTTGGCTATTGTAAACAACACTGCTATGAACATTGGGATATTACCATTTCTTTAATCTGTATTTATTTTATACCATTTTGTTTATGCCCCCTCCTCAATTTCCCACTCTAGCTTTGTGGTTCACCATTTACTCCAATATATACCTAAAGGTAAGTATTTACACTGGTGGACTTCATACTGTGAATTCACAGGAAGGGAGTGTTTATGTTCTCTTAATGGGTGTTGATGTCCAGAAACACCATGTTGTGGCTCAGTGATCCGGTCCCCTCCTGCCAACGCACTTCTGTAGCTCTGTGTTCTCTGCTCCTTTATCCACCCGTGAGCAGTGTCTTCCCTGTCCCTCCCCAAGTCAGGCGGGAGGGGTAATGGAGGAGAATTATGGTACCGAACAGAAACCACTTCAGCTTGAATATTCCAGACCGTTATCACAGGGTCTCTTGGCCATTTCCCATCAGAGACTGTCTTCCTACCTTCCTCACGCTCCTTAAACTGATCTTCGAAAGAGCTCTTGTTCGCCCCTCCTACAGCACTCCCAGGAGCTCCTCTGCCACGTCTCGGGGAGTGGGTGCCCCGCATGTGGGCCAGGCCTGAGCACCCCTACTTGCTGCTCCCATAGGAGTTCTCTGAGAAAGATTTTCCTGAAATGAAAACCCTGGATAATGATAGCCCATGAATCACAGATCTCCCCAATTATCAACAGCAGAGGCAAACTCACCATCACCTCTTTGTATACAACATTATTTCAGTGAAAAGAGGGGCCTGCTTTCTCCTGATAACCTTTGCTAAGCTCTCCGCAATCTCACTGTGTCCTCTCTGGGAACCGAAGAAAGACCGAAAAGTCTCTCTCAGTGTGTTATTCAGAGACATCTTGTACATTCTATGCCTCAGGCTCTCCCATCCAGACCAACCTTTATTAGGAAAATTGCTGAAATACAGAAGAATGAAAGAAGAAGCATTTCACATGATGTGTTTGCTCTCAAGTTCCTGTCTCTGAGAGTTGCCTGGGTGAATATGCAAATGACAGTAGAGAAACCAGCGGAGGACCGTGATTTGTCTTCTTTGGCTCTCTCCTTTGTAAAGATAAAATTCTCTAGGTCTCAGACTTAGTTGAGCAATTAAGTGGAGGTGAAAAATGGTCTTTCTCCATGTCCTGTCTCACAGATTGTTCTCTTCATTGCAGGGGCTTACACGTTTGTTCCATGGCTTCTCAGCTTCAAAAGAGGAAGAGCCCTAGAAGAAAAAGAAAATAAAATATTGGTCAAAGAAACCGGTTACTTTTTTATATACGGTCAGGTAGGTTCCACCTTGTCCTTCTCTCACTGTGCAGTGCCTCCCATTTTGTGCTCACCTCTGACAACATTTTTCGGTGTGTTTCTCAGGTTTTATACACCGATAGCACCTTCGCCATGGGACACCTAATACAGAGGAAAAAAGTCCATGTCTTCGGGGACGAACTGAGTCTGGTGACTTTGTTCCGATGTATTCAAAATATGCCTGAAACGCTACCCAACAATTCCTGTTATTCTGCTGGTAAATACTAGTTCTCTGTAAATAGAAAGACATCCCTCAATATGCGGTGTGGATTTTATCATCTTGAATGATAAGCTAGTCTGTTTTAATTGAGGCAAATGAGATCATCACTAATAGGTTTATCGTTTTTATATAATTTTAGAAAGGGCAGGAACTTCATGGTAATCAACCTGCGAACAATTCTAAGCTGTGTTTTCTTCAACCTGTAATAGCAAGAGCGATAAAAGCAGAAGAGTAAGAGAGTGGTGAGCATGTGCCAGGCACCCTTGTCTGCGCTTGATGCTGGTTCCTTCCATCCTCCCGTTTCAGGGTGGGGGCATCTGGGACAGCTTCTTAGCGTACATTGTCTTACATTGCACAGCTGCTAAGTTCCAGAACTTGGTTTAAACCAGCCAATTTGATTCCTGAGTGTGAGCTGCCAGAAACTCTTCTTTACTTGCCATGGAAGAAATTCCCTGGGCTGATGTGAGGGTCAGGTCAAGTTGCCCGGTGGCTTCTGTGGTGGCTCCTCTCTCACTTCCACACAGATGACATCTGCGTAGTGGCTACCCGACAGGTGACGTGGGGATGTGAAAGGGTGGCAGCAAGCCTGCATTTCAACTCAGGGGCAGTAAGATATGGCCTTGCTGGGTCTCTTCAACATCCATGTCCTTCAGACCTCTGACATAGTCCCATAGTCGACTGAAGAGATCATTTCAGGTCTGTTTTGGCTGCATTGCCAGTATAGCCTTTATTTTGTTTTGGGGGGTGATTCCAAATTAATCAAGGCTGGTATGAGAAAAAAAGAGTGTTTGCCTCAATACATTTATTCCTCTCTGGTGATTTTGGCAAATCTGTTTTGAACCCTGCGGACTGTCTTCAGTCCCGGTTACCATGACTGACAGGGTAGAACACAGGGCTGGAGATCCGCTGCTCCACTTGGAGTGCCTGGTTCCAAGATGTTTACTAACACATGCGCCATACATCAGGTGGCAAGAAAGGGAAGTAGCACACAATAATAGGGGTGATTGTCATTCTGGATCTGCAGCCATAAACAGCTTTAACAGGGTGATGAGGAAGTTTGTTACATTGGAATCCCCTAATTTTTATTAAAAAAAAAAAAAAGAGGCTTCCTTGCACCCCGTGATCACTAGTGTTTTGGTGTTGCGAAATTTTATAAATGGTGAGGCTATGGTGATCAGCTACTTATTTGTATGCATTAGTACTTACAGCTTTATAACCAACTTTCAGACGTTCTAATAATCTGCTCCTCACATTTACATCCTTGACCAGCTTTCCTAGGTGCCTTGTTATTTAAGAGTAAATAACTTGACCTTAAAGATATTTCTCAATGCTAACAGCTTAGTATTAAATATGAGAACCGTTCTGTAGGAAAATTCAGGTTTGCAATATTTATCTGGTCTAGGGCAAATTTGTTTAAAACCATTAAAAACTACACATAACTTTGTAAGTGTCTAAAATGCTTCCATAGCAACCTGCAAAAAATAAAATAAACATAATACCAAAGAACCTAAGAACATAATAACAAATACCTAAGAAGCACAATCTTATTATTTTATTTCCAAATTAAATATGTTTGTTGTAGAAAAGGTTAGATTGCTATAAACTCAAAGAATTGAAATAGCCAAATAATTCAGTGTTGGTTTCTTGTGGTTAAGTTATATAGATACATATATAGAAACATTCAAATGATATGATGTCTGGAATTTGCTTCCAGTTGTAGATGAACCAAGATTGGCAATGGGTTAATATTGTTGAAACTGAGTAATGAGTACATGGAGTTTATATTATTCTCTGCTGTAGAAAACTTTTGACACTTTCCTAAAGAAGAATAAAATGCAAAACATGTTTTGGTCGGGGAGTCACTCGTACTTTTTTTGGAGAATCAATATTACTTAATGCTCTGTGATCTATAGCCTCTGTCAAAATATTAAATTATCTTACTTCTCTATGATAATGACTAATCTGTTCAACAAAGAATTCCAATCTTGTTTTTTTAACTATTTAGTCATTAAATGCTTTGTCAATCCCAGAAAATGTACACATTACCCTTAACAATACCTAAAACTATGTTTTGTTTGTTTGTTTATTTGTTGTCTGTCTTGGTCCATTATGAAAAAAGAAGATCCTTGGAGACAAAAAAATAAAATTTAAAAAAATTGTCACACACACTGTTCTATATGTGTCTAGAAAGGTGTCTGGTACATCATAAGTGTTTAGTACATAAACACCAATTAACTGTTGCCCAAGGAAATCACATGCTTTGGGCTCCATGATAGATTAGAAGTTAATATAGATGTGTTCATGTGAGTGCATTTTCACTGTATGTTAGTGACACAATGCAACTACTTTTTAAAATGTTAGTTGAAAGCATTGACAATTCTGATAGTATTTTGTTTGTTAGTTGTTTCTTCTCTTTCTCTTGCTTCTCCTCTTTCTTTTCTTTCATATAGATTTTTTTAATGGAGTCAGAAATTATCTGATATAGAGTGTAGTTCCTGAACTGTGTTTTGTATTCCGGAATCACAAAATATGTCATTGTAATTAGGCATATACAGATTTGTTGGTTAGTTTTAAGAAGATAGTTATTTTGTTGCTTTTGGTTATAAAGACAAATATGGTCATTAAAGAAAACATGAAATATAGAAGGCTATAAAAAGTAATCCAAATACTCCTAATCCCATAATCTTGCCTCTAGAGAAAAACTGTGTAATAGATATGTTTTATTAATAAATGGTGTTTTGTTTTTTTACTTTTAATGATCTACATAGTTTATTTGCACATTTAAAAGTATATATGTGTATATGTTTTTATTTAACATTATTATAATAAGTTTCTCTTGTCAATAAACTGAAGCAAAACCATTTTTTTTTTTTTTTTACTATATAATATTCCATCAAGGGATGTGCCATGAGTTACTTAAAATTTTTTTCTTAAAATTAAATATTTGGTTCCTCTCCATTTTATAAGCAGTAGGTGTTAAATACATTTACATCTGCTGGAACTCCTTCTGTTCATTTCTTTTAACTTATTTTTTTTTTTTTTAGGCTAGTAAAAGAATAACTGTTTTAGAAGTCCACTGATGTAATTTGAAGTGAGAATGCCTACATTAACAGTTTTTCCAAAACAAAATTGTTTTATTTGATATTCTTTTTATTTTCTTTCACATTATACAACCACTTAAAGTTCTTGTAAACCATTCTTTTCCAGGCATTGCGAAGCTGGAAGAAGGAGATGAACTTCAACTTGCAATACCCCGTGAAGATGCTAAAATATCACAGGATGGGGACGGCACTTTTTTTGGTGCATTGAAACTTCTGTGACCTACTTACACCTTGTTTGTGGCTAATTTGCTCCCTTTCTATGTATCTTTAAGGAGAAAACACTTAACTGGAAATACCAAAAGGAAAAAGAGTAGTTACTATAGCCTTTTCTGTGAGCTATTTGTTTTGGTTTGCTGAAACCAGACCAAACAGGAAACGTAACAGACAACCACAGCCAAAGGGTGTCATGTGAATTACAAGAAATCGAGCTCATTCAAAGAAAGATAGAGTTAGAAAGATTTTTTTCGTTATAATGCCATGTTGAACAACTTAGTCATAGCTTCTTGTCTTAGAGGAAGCTCAGGTTTCAAAGGAGCCATAATCATTTGTTCAAAATGGTATTCTATTATTTACTATGAAATAAGTGCCCATATCTACAGGATAATAAGACATATTGGGGAAATTTCAGGATTCATCCTCTATATTTATGTGAAATACACTCCTCTCCTTTTTCAGTTAAGCTAGAAAGTAAAAAAAAAAAAATATGTAGAGAAATTTTGCACTCACTACATGAAAAAGTAATTAAAAGCCTAAATTTAAACATCATATTAAACAATTAGACTCAAAATAAGATGCAGTATTGTTTAAGTCTTTTTTGGTTTATTATAAGTTTGCAATTTTTATCTCTAATATTATATGTTACTCGATGGAGCACTCCCAGACAGTTTTCATGGGAGGGAAACAATTCTCTCATGTGTCTGCCCTTATGTATATTTTTTGTAGCTAATTTCAGTTACTTCAGAAACTTAATGTAGGGCAATTTCAATTTGTGCATATAAGCATTAATTGAAAAAATAACTATAATTGTTCTTATATAAAAATAAAAATCTTCAGTAGAAGTTAATGACTACATTTGTAATAATGTAATATAATTTCCCATTCTGTTTTAAATTGCTACTATTGTAGTTCACATATCCCAGCCTTTAAAAAATCGTCGTGTTATTAACTTTACAGAACGTGAGGTTTAATTAAACTTCTTGACATCCTGATCTATGCTATATGTCATATGCTGTTTATAAAGATTACCATATGCCGGAAGACATCTTCCTAATTTTCATTTTATCAAGAATTGTATTTGAGAATGTTATAATACTTACCTTTATTACATCAGTTTCCCTTTTGTTTTGCTTGTCTTTTTAAAAATGTCCCTTTGAAAGAGTTTTCACTTCATTCAACAGTTTATTTCATTCGTTTAAGCAGTAGTTGGAAAAATAGACCTTGGTCACCATTGGTTTTCCCCAGTTTATATTAAAATATTTTTAAAGATTTATTTTTCAAAACAAAAGGAATTTGTACTTTTGTATATAAACTTAACTTTTTTTTAACTGCAATTTTGGCTTCTTGGTTAAAATAAAATCTATTTTGCAAGTTACTTCATTTTACAATGTTATAATTAAAAAGAAATGATAGGTAGGGTAGGAGTTTTAATACCAGAAGGAGGTTAGTCATTTTTTTAGTCTTGTTGCTAACTTGCATTGCCAAATAAAAAGTTCAAGTCTTTTGCTTCATTTTTTTATTGAGTTTGTCTAACACCACTCTTCTTTTAGTTTCTTTCCAAATAACTACTAAGTGTCATTTTAAAAATCAGGTGCAAAACTGTAAAACATTATAAAATAATATGTGTTAGGGTATGACAGTAATATATCTGAAATCATGAATATTTTACATATTTCAAAAAGTATTTGTACACATCAATACTACAGAAAGGGTATAAATGAAATATTCCTTAGAGAATAAGCTTAAAAAGATAATACTGCATTATCACAGGCTTGCACACTAAGCTATTAAATCTGCAGGTTGCACCATTATTTGCACCATTATTCTTTATAAATGGCCTAGAATATTTTGTCAGCAGACATAGAATTCAGCCCCATAAAATATTCTTACATCTTATTTTAGTTTTGGTTTAAACCAGTGTTAAAATGTGAACCCTATCTCCCTCATATGTGAAATTGTGAGGAATATTAGACTTCGGCTGAGTGAAAGTTGAGTGAGGTATCAGGAAATGGAATTACGATTGGGAATGTATGACGATCTCCACTGCAGCTCAACTGCCCAACTTCCCACTTCTCTACCCCTCCCCTAATTTATTTTAGGGGGAAAAAGGTGTTATACTGGGGTTACTTACAACAGAACATCCCTAAGGCTTAGGTGTATGGGTCCAGTCCAGACACTCGTATGTCTCAAATCTGAAATCAGGAGTGGTGACTATGAATAACTACTTGAGGGTATTCAGTTGTTCCCTTGTGTGGGAACTAAACCAGTTACCACAACACCCAGAGTGAAATAAGGCGCAGCCCTGAGCGGCACCTTGTGAAATCAGCTCTACTCTCTAAGTCATTGTGCAAGAGAAGGTCCCCTGGTGTGGTTTGTGATGGATGCAGGGATTTATTGATAGAATCGAATAAATCCTTTTGTAATTTGAATTATAAATTAGAAAATATTGCCTGTTATCTGTCTGGCCCTGTGCTAGGATCCTGGGAACTATAAAACACTGCTTGCTCCTGATTATCTGTGGGCACATTCGCTTTTTAAAATTAAGCTGGCAAATTTGTATAAATTTGATCAATTTGGACGAATTAATCATGATTGAAGAGGGAGTCCAAGATCGCTAGCCTGGCTTATGTCAGAGCAGCTTCTCCAGGTCCTCTCCTGTGGGCCAGGCATCGGAGTGAAGGGCTGGTGTGAGCAGTCAGCAACTCCAAACACCATTGTCCCTGCTAAGCCATGTCCAGGCCACCAAGAAGGGAAAGCAATTTTCTTTTAAGCTCCATTTGAGGTTGTCTTTGATTGCCTCATCTTCCCTATCGGCATTATCCAAGTTAAGCTTTTGTTATTTAAAAAAATAATGAAATGACATTATTTAAGATCACGCTAAAAATAAAGATAATAAAATAAAATTATAGAAGTATATTAACAATACAGCACGAGTACAGATTTGTTGCTTATTTAGATTTATTTTACAACCTTCTGCTTCTATGACCCTTACTAGTGCTTAGAATGATATGTTTAGAATATACGATACTTTTTCTGCACAATATCATACATGTAAAAATATGTTAGGTATTGGTTTTTGTTTTATCTTGTTTTCTGTTAGGTCTTGCTGCAGTCACACACTGTATTTAAAACTAACCACGAAGACCGGACTAAGGTGCTGAGACTGAGCAAGTTTCTCTGTGTGATGAAGAAATGTTGCAGGTGGTGGCATGACACTGAGCTGTGAATTTGGGTCACCCAGTGGCTGATTAATTTTTCATGTTTGAGGCATAAACAAACGAGATCAACAGTACAAAAATAGTGGTATACTTGGTATGCAGCTGTACACGCTGAGTAATTTCTGTGTCTCACATTTTCCATCTACATAAAAGTAGCATTTTTTTTTTCACAAGTAAATGGATACAATCATGCAATCCATTTTAGACTATTTTGAGGACAACACTGGTGGTATCATTAACTTTAAGCTTGTATTTGTAGTGGGAGATATGTTTTATGAGAACTTTTTATAAAATTTATTCTATTGTGCGGTGTGTGTGTGTGTGTTTTAACTTTGGTAAAAACTAATAGCAGGCCAAACATTCTTTTTGGAAGCTAATTAGGAGGTGGTAACATTCCATGATGACAAGGTTCTGCAATGACCATGATGTGGTCTCTGAATGCAAACTCATGGTCAGCAATCTGTCACATCTAGGTCCTGACCCCACTCTGGCTATCAGGGACCAAAAACAAGAATTTGGTGTGTTAACTGTCATCATCCAAGAGTAGATGATGGTAATAAATGGACAAAGCAGGAAGAAATAGGTACGCGGGAAGCGAGGGAGTGCTTCACCGTTGAGGTCACATATTCACCCTGCTTTAAATGTTTTGCAACTTCAGACTTCATTCTGAACTAATTTCAGGCTTATAAAAATACAGATAAAAGGAGTACAAGGACATCTCTTATACGCTTCACTTTTATTCCCCAAATGTTAACGTTCTACAGAACTAGAATCAAAATCAGGACAGTAACTTTGAGACAACATGGTTTTAAATGTGAATAATAATTGCCTAATTGCCCCTCTTCTCGATATGCACTATAGCAGACACACACACGCACGCACGCACGCACGCACGCACGCACCACTACAATTAGAAAGGAGTATTTGAAGACTGAACTGGCCTCTTGGACATGCCACCTAAGGTCACAGAGGGCTTCACACTCTGGAAGGCCCTGTTTTTAGGTTAATCCCCTGCTGTTGCTGTCTTGAAATTCATAAAAATTTTTCAACAGGGGGCTCTGCATTCGTATTTTGCAGTGGGCCCCGCAGATCAAGTGGTCCTGCTTGAGGAAATTAGAAGACGTAGAGCATGGTAGTTAAGACCACATCTCCAGGGCCACATCCTGGAATTCAAATTCCAGTTCAGTTGTTTACCAGCTTTATAATTTGGGGTATTGTCAGTGTAAGAAATATTCGAACTGTGAAGAATTCTTGTGAGTTTATTTGAGCCAAAACTGTCAATAACTGCCTAGACACAAGATTCCAGCTTGAAATAATGCTCCAGAGATTGGCAGTTTTCCACCTTGTTTTATACTTTACAATCAACAGAGGAGATGTAAATGGGTTACATGAAATCCATTGGTGATAGATTAGGGAGGTGGGAGAAAGCAAAGCAGGGGAAACCTCTGGGATTGGATGAAAAGTCAAATGATAGACACATACATCTTTTACATAGGTGGGTAGAGGCTAGTTAACAGTCAACAGCTCAGTAACAGTGAGAGGATTTGTGGTCTCTGCAGAGCGGTGCCTGTGCTTTGAAGGGTCCAGAAAAAGGTAATTACTCTGACATTCCAGATTAGTTATCGTGCATGTAAAAAGACAGTAGACAGGCTCAGTTAAAGGAAAGATTAACCTTTGTCAGGGAAGATGCTGGCCTAGAAGATGACTACCTGCCATAAACTGCTTTTAGTTTAAAAGTTTTAATTTCAGACCATCCTCTGTGGTTACTTTAGGTCTCTGAGTTTGCAAGGCCCCCACGCAGGCTCCCGGTGCTTGTTGGTGAGCATGTGGCCCCCTTTTGGCCACATTATGAAGGTAATACAGTACTGATAAACTCGTAGAGTTGCTATGAGAGATAAATGAACTGATATAGTGTGTGGCACATTAGTGTGGCACATTATAAGTGTTAAATGCTTGTGCTTAAAAGGTGTGCATACCCATGTCCTCAGACATATACATAAGAAGAGGGACTGGAATTGAAATTCAAAAGAAAGAAAGAGACATGCACTGTATTTTTGTTGTTGTTTTTTTATAAATTATTTTTATTACTTTGTTTTTCTTACAAATGTTTCTCTTTTTTACCTCATTGACACCCTCCTTCCCATCCCCCCCTGCCCCTACCCCTGCTTTGTTGTCTATGTCCACTGGTTATGCACACTTACATACATATAAGTTCTGTGG